CATTGTGCCTCTAACCACATCTTTTGGTCTCTCTGTACATGGGAGCAGTGTTCTGGTACCACGAGCTTTCGAAGGGACACTCCATCCCTCACGCTAATTGCGGCCCGTGTGTTGCACCCGCCTAAAATAATGAAGCAGTGGGACAGCAGGCACAGCATCCTGAGATCAGAAATGACTGGGAAAGAGTGGAAAAATGAATAGGTTGGCTCTGGAAAGGGTGCTCAAAGGTTGCCTCCCAGAGAGTTTTACAGCTTGCCTCAGGTTTGCAGGCCATTTCATTTAAGTCCTTTGGCTGAAAAGGAGGTTGCTTTCCATAATGCTCTATAATCCTGCTGCTAAATTTAGACAAACATGGAGCCTGGCCAACTCTCAAGGATAATCTATGGGAATCGTCTATGTGCTGTAGATCAATCCAAGAGGACTCTGGCAAGCGTAACTTTAGCTAAAGAGGGTGCTGCTTGCTTGCTGCAGCCCTACTCCAGAAGTAGCTGTCCCTACACTGATAGCTACATACACGTGTATTTCTATCTGCTCTCCTTTCCACATTAGAGATCACCCAAGGAGAAGGTGCTGCACCCAAGGCACAGATAGCAAGACTGCTGTTTTCCGCTTTCTTTCCACAGTCCCAGGTTTTTGCATGAATTACTTGTGAAAGCTTTTCCTGTCTTTCCAAGAGCTACAATCCTCTTCCCCTCCCCAAGGGATGGATGATGTTATCAGAAAGTAGGACACATTTGGCTCTGTCCTACCTTCCGATGGGCCTGGAGCACTTCTCACAGATGGCAGGATGCTGATAACAACATGGGCCTCCCTCCTGCATCACAGACAGCAAAATGAGGCACTGGGAGTTCCCTGGAGGATGCCCATGTAGACCTGGGGGAAGCAAGAGAAAAGACCGTATGCAGCAGCATCTTCTGGCCAGTAACTGAAACAGTATGAACGGTGAGGAGAGCCAAACAGAGGCCTGCTAAGCCTGGGTGACCAGCCACAGAGTCTGCCTTCAGGAGGTACCTGCTGACTGTGCTGCTGAACACATTCCAACTGGCTCTTCCCTATGGAACTCGCTGCCTTTGTGCTGACAGCAGAAAACCCTTTGTCAGTGGAGGAAACGACTGACTCAAAAGCACCGAGGGAATGGAGCTGGTGAGTAACGTGGTGCTGTTTACACACAGTCACACTGCTGACTACAAAGGTTGTAGTTTCTTCTACCAGTTTCTTTTTCCTTTGGCACGTTCTTATTCCCCAAGTTTAACCAATTCCTCACCAGCTGGTGGTAAACTCAGCCAGAAGCATCCTGCCAGGAATTGTTAATTCCCTTAAAATAAACCAAACAGATTCCAACCTACTGGGTTTTTACCTGATGTGCTGACTCCTCACTCCGGGCTCCTCATCCTTGTCTTAGCACCAATCATACTGCAAGTGACCGCAGGACTCTGAAGTGCAGCTGCTGAGAGGCTCCAGGCATCCTTCCTCCAGACCTACACGTACCAAAGGCAATGACACTCTCAGCACAAGACCTGTCTGTTCAGTACCACGTCTTCTTTATTGAAGAAGTGAAAAAAAAAAAAAAACATTTTTGAGCAATATTTTAGGTTAATTTTCTACTTGAAACAAAATCTTAGCCACATTTCCTAAGGAAACACAGCACATGCAGTTACCTGATGCCACTGGCTTCATAGCTCCTACAAGTTTTGTAGTTAGCATAACAAAGGAAAGCTGCATTAGTGCCCATGCAGTGAGCAAGACTGAAAAACTCCGTCTGATTTCAGGGAATTGACACAGAAGTGATCTAGAACATTATCATCTTAAGGTCTTTCACTCACAGAATTCCTTACTTCAGTTTTGTTCCTCTGTCTTTTAGGGAAAAACAAGCAAAAATGGATACTTCCACTGGACCTTTCCAGCCCAATGACTATCAGGCAGTTTAAAGCATAAGCCTCCATCTCACTGGGTATCTCCAGTCTCTGGAATACAGAGCATGAATTCACCTGCCAACCATATCCTGACTTCCAACCATTTCCTCTCAGCAGAATAGTAAGATGAAGCAAAAATCTTCAAGTCTTTACTAATTTAAGAGTGTAAAAGTCAAGCCTTTCCTGTTTGCAGCCCATAGCACAGCCACATCTGCACATACACATTTGCTAACTGCAAGTACGCTGGTGTACACGTATTTTGGAGAGGAGCAGCATCCCATAGTAAAGCTTCGTCAACAGTACATTCTGTGCTTGTGCTCCCCCTATAGAAAAACACGTGCAGGTTTCATCCCTCTCATTCTCTTCAGCGAAGTGAGCCAGTTTAAATTGCATCCTGTGGTCAAGGCAGTTACAGCAAGTTGATACAACCCTGGTTTATATTATCTGATTAGTGCCACATAAGACACAGTCTGTGCAGTATCTGCCATAATGAAAACAGAATCCTGAGCCATGCTTCGAGGTACAGCAGCAAAAAGGGACATAGCATTTATATGACAGACAGGCATAAGTGCCATGGATGGTTTATAAACAGCTGTAAATGACCCAGATGTCCCAGACTTCTACACATGGTGGTGCAATTACATCTAATAGATGTGAAAGTAATGATTACTCTTGGCAGACTACAATATGGACTGCTACTTAGAGAGCATACCATTTAATAAGCTACTTTACTTCATGGAGACTTGCAATTCTCCACACAAGCACCTTAATATAACATGGTCCTTGCCATAGTAGAAGAGTTCACTTGCACTCGAACATCACGAGGCACTGAGTTATTATGCTTTGCAATTCCCATATGCCATTATTTCCCACTAACCCAATATAGAAACAAGTTAGAGAGCAAGGTGAGGGTGCTGATCCAGGAGAATGGCAAAGTTCTCTGCCTGCATGATCCCAGCAGACATGAATACAACGGACAAGCTTGTGATCTACAGCCACAGCATCATGCTCCCCAAGAGCAAGAGAGGTTTTGCATCAAACTAGAGAGACCTAAAACCTAACCTAAGCCTTAGTGGATAAAAATGGGTAATACACCCTTGGGTAGTTCATGTATTTAGCATCTAGAACAAAAATGCAAGCTGTAGGATTAAATAAGACAAAATCAAGGCAGAATAAAGCTCAAAACTGGAATCAGACGTACAGCATTGATAAATTAGCAGGGCATGCTGCTGCTGTCCTTTTATAAAGTCTTTTTCTCTGTGTAATTCCAAAGGCATCCCAACCCTTCAGCAGCCAGCAATCTCCTGGAAATATGCAAACTGATTACCATTCTTCCCTAGACAGGAAACCAGCAAGCTTGGGCTGAGAGTCAGAAAGAGAAGCTCTAGGGCTGACAGAGAACACTAGAACAGACACTTAAATGTGATGAGGGAGGGAAAAAGACATGGACCTGACTTCAAAGGTGCTAAATCGCTCAGGCCTCAACCCTTCATCTGTGCATCCTTGTGCAGGGAATGCTTATTGCTACTTTAGAAACACCCAAATGCACTCTGCCTGTTTAACAAACCTGCAAGCCAGGATCAACACTCTGTCTTCTCTTGCTTGGTAAGCTCCTAAGGCTCATGGCCAGACATCCTCCTCCTCCAAATCCTGACAATAGGCTGCGAGAGGGTCCTACTGGTCTTGGTTAAAAGCAACTGCTGCCTATTTAAAGCATGAAAAGGACAGAACACGTTTTTAATATATTTGATCAAAGTTGCCTACTGTTAACATATGGTTTGGGGAAAAAAAAAGCGCTATAAAAATGTGCTAACCACATGTTTCTGCAGGACTTCAAGAGCTCGCAGAACGCCACCAGCTCTCCCACAAGATTAATGCATTTTTAACTGTGGGCGTACCCTTTCCTTAAAATACCAGCACAAAGATCCAGCCAACTTCCACACCAAAGGCTAAGGAGCTCCAGAGGCTTTGAGTTTATCGCCATCTAGTGACAAGAGTAAAGCCATCCGCAGAACCTCACGCACGTTCTTTGCATGGAGCCCCTTGTCCCTCCAGCAGCAACACTAAACCTACCTTGTGGCAGGGAGTTCCACAGATTACCTTTTGTTTCCTTCCCTTTCAGCTTAGGCAAGCGTTCTGCTCTTGGGAGATAAAAGGGAATGCATTTTCAGGGCAGCTTTCCTGTGTGCTGCACAACGATAGGCCTAAGGGAGCTCAATTCTTTTTCCCTCCTTTCTCTCTGAGGTCAGTCCACCTCATCTATCTGCTAGAATACAGACAAGGAAGAGTTAAATACACAGAAGTTAACTGCCTCAAACAGGAAAATCAGCAGCAGAACCTAGATATCAAGTCCTTTGTCAGGGTTTATTTAAAACATCTCTATTTTTCACAGATTTCATTACTTCCTTCAACCACGTAATACCCGATTACAACGGGGTTGTCTCGGGCACAAAACAGGTTTTATAGGTAATGACTAATTAGCTCTGAACTTTCACCAGCATGGGCTGGGTAATACTGGATGTTCTGTAGGACAAGAAGCAATTGCAGGAAAAAACACATTTTTTATTAGCACAAAATAGAACAGAAAAAATAAAATGTGCCCTTTAAGGATGCTCATGCAATGGCTCAGGCACATGCACACCAAGGCTCCGGGTAAGGGAGAATTAAAGCTCACACAGACGTATTCTGATCCAATTCCTCTTTCACCATAACTCTTAGTAAACATCAGCCCTTCTACAGTAAATCTATGAAAGAAAGAGATTTTGAGAACTTTCCAATATGCTTGTGTAATAGATCATCAGAAGAATTCTTTCACTTCATCCCATCGGCCTTGTAGCACGTCCTTCAGTCTAATTGTAAATAGGAACTTCAGAAATCCAGCTTGTCTAAGACCCCTTTGCTCATAGTCAGGGCAGCAGCACAGGACTGTACAGCACTGCCAAGGCACTATATGAGAGCTCACACCATTCCCTTGGGGAGGAAAAGCATATTGCTGTCAGGTTTGCCCTTGGCAAAGTGCTCACTGAGATTGAAAGCTTCCTCCTACTGATTTCATCACACTCAGAAAAAAGTTAAATGTAATCCATGTACTTAAATATCCCTTTTTTAATTACAATTACAGGTGAACACTCATTACAGATGCGTTTATTGCTTTGAGCTTTTCAGGAATATCTTGGGTGTTTGCCATCCTTCAGGGGGTTTTTTCAAGCCAGCTCGTTTCCAGATGCGCTCCAAATCTTTCTCAAACTTGACCTAAAACAGAATATATAAAGAGACATAAAACTGTAACATAGTTTAGAAGCAACACTCAAGATTTCATCCCTTGTCCATGTGTCCCAGGGGGAAACCAGGAAATAATGCAGACACAAAGGAAAAATGCTTTTAGTAGGCAGCTTGTTCCAAGTGAGTTTCTAAGAAAACATACTGAAATGCACAAGCATTATTTTAAAGTCCTGTGCAAAGGAAACTGAGAAGATGGAAAATGAAACTAAGCAAATTAAGAGGATTTCCTCATCATAGAGTGCTCAACACTGCTACCTACAAACCTCAAGAAATGGCATTACAATTAGCCCCAATATGCATCTAGGCAAGTTGAAAATCACCAGAGAATGAACTAAACTGTATTATAGCAAACCTAACAGCTGAAAGGTAGTGGTGAATGAAACATCTATGGCTTGAATGAAGTCCTATGTCTTCCTTCACCCCTTCTATTAAGGGAAGTAAAAGGCTTCTATACAGGAACAGGCAATAGGAAGCACTTAAGGATGCTGGCAGGACAGGACAGAAATCAAACCAGTCTCCCTGATGTAACACAGACACATGAATTAATCTTCCACACAAACACTAAAATTCCTCTCCATTAGCCACACATAAGTTACTGTCATGAAGAAAGGTTATGTGTAGCAACTATCACACATACCTGTTTACAACCACAGAGACAGGGTGAATTACAGCTTCTGAAGATAACACAGGTCAAACACTAACCAGAAAAAGCTATTGTACCAGTAAATGCTGAATTCATTAAGGCTCCCGAGCTGCTGCTGCCACTTCCCCTAAATCAATTCCACTTAAAACCATGATTTGACACCTGAACCAGTCTGAGAAGCAGCCACATTCATGTCATGAAGCTCTCCACCCTGAGCTTACCTGCCGTTTCTTCTTGCGACCTTCCTTTATCCTCCTCCGTATGAACTTCCTTCTCTTCAGCAGCTTTTTGTACTTGTGCTTATTCATTTTCCTCCTGCGAATCTCCAACACGTTCTTACACTGAACCTTGTTGTTAGGTGTTCCTTCTCCTTCCTCCACATCACCTCCCTCATCAGCTGGGGGACAGTCATATTGCTGGAGGGGTTCCCGGCCAGCATCCTCCTGAGCATTGAGGCCTTCTGCTTTCGGAAGGAAGTACCTAACTGTGAGCCAGCTCTCCAAAGGGCTGATGGAGAGTTTTCTGGGGATCAGAATCTCTTCCAGTTCAGGGTCATGGGATTGCTGAGCTTGGGCTCCGCTCTTGCTCGAGGGCTGCGTGCAATAGCGTGCAGGTGTAGAATGATAGCAAAGAAAGGAAGACACTGACCTGGGCAAACGGTGGCCTTGGAGGAGAAAAGAAGTTCACTTAAGAGGCAGAAGTTTCAAACAGGACCTTAAGAAAAGTTCTGTCCAGCTCTCAAACCGTCAGACCACTGTGGCCAGGATAACCTCCTAGAGGAAGCTGCTTACAAACTACGTTCCCACCACAAAAACAAGGAAGGATGTATTTAAACCAACTTACATTGCTATAACGTCATTACCAAAACTACATTATACAGTGTTTTACTGTATAAACTGCGTTAGTGTGGTTTGGAATGGGTAGGAAGCAGGTAGTCTGCTGTTTTAAGCCTTTCTGCTGCTATGCAATCTCCTCCTAAGCTTAAAAGAAGCCAAATCAGAGCTACACAATACTGATAGACCAGAGACATAACAAGAGCCTCACCGCTCCTGCCCTGCTCGCTGGGACAGGAGTTTCTGGGAGCAAGCACAGAACCACCCCAACCAACAGAGCAAAGCACATGAGCCCAGATCACAGAACAGCCACGCACCTGCAAGCCGGGAAGCCCTCAGCAGATGGGAAGCCGCCTGTGCTATTAACATGCTGCTTCACTCCGCTCACTGTCGGAGGCAGGAAGGGCTGTGAAAACAAGAACACCGATTACAACGAGGTAAATACGTTCCCAAAGCTCTTCCCTACTGCCCCCCAAGAGGCGGGCTGAGGCACCTGCAGCACCCTCCTCACTCCACCAACACTCCCTTATGTTCTGCCGCAGAAGCCTGGCCCACAGGCACCGCTGCAGACGTGATTAATAAAGCTTCGGCCTCCCGAGGCTCAAAACCAAGGCCGCTTCAGCCGCCAGGCACACAGCTCGGGTGTGTGTGGGGGGAACGGTGCTTCCATAGCACAAAACGGAGGGGAAGCGAGGCGCAGCCCCGCGGCCTAACCAAGGGCCATCACCGAGGGCGGCCCCCGCCACAGCCCCGCACCGCGGCTCCCCTCAGCCTGCGCCCGCCATCACTCACCAGCCCGCCCGCCTCTGCCCCGGAACTTCCGGCCGCCGCCGCGCAGGCGCCGGGCTCAGGGCATGGGGGTGACGGGCGGCGGGGCCGTGCCTCAGCCGCGCTGCCCTCGCTGCAGGCCGCAGGGCCGGGGCAGCGCTCCAAAGGCTGTGGCAAAGGGGCGCTGCCCTTCCCCGCAGCCTGCTCCCGCCGTGTGGGTCATGGAGCGGGGGTGTTTCTGTCCGCATTCCCCACAGCCAGCTGGGGGAAGAGCGTGGAGACGGCTCCAGGGAGATGATGGAGCAGGTTTCCAGTCCATCAAGGGGCCATGAGGAGGCTGGAGCAGGCGTGCGGTGATCGGAGAAGGGGAATGGCTTTAATCTGCCCGAGGGGAGACTGAGATGAGCTCTTAGGCAGAAGCTCTTCCCTGGGAGGGTGCTGAGGCGCTGGCACAGGGTGCCCAGAGAAGCTGTGGCTGCCCCATCCCTGGCAGTGTTCAAGGCCAGATTGGAGCAAGCTGCTCCAGTGGAAGGGGTCCCTGCCCGTGGAACTGGATGAGCTTTAAGGTCCCTTCAGCCCAAACCACTCTGGGGTTCTGTGATGACTCCTTTTCCACATCCAATTCCAACGAAACAGTTCAGCGAGCTTGCCCCTTACCTGTTGGGTTTGTGCTGGTCCCGCAGGCACCCTTTGAGAGGGGAAGTCAATGGCTGGCAGTTGATAGCACTGCACTTTGCTCACCTGCTCAACCACAGCAGCCCATCACGGAACGCTGCTCACGGGGTCCTTAGTGAGACTTCGTATCCCTGTCAGCACAGGGACCACGGGAGGCACACAGACAGCGCTCCATGCACACCCGCAGCCGCATCCGAGGGCAGGTCTGAGGGTGGCTGCTGTCCAGGAACAGCCACGCCTGTCTCTCCCACTTACCTGGCTGCTGTTTGTCTTTGACTGGTACAGGAGCCCACCGCCTTGGCGCAGCATGAAAGTGCCTCATCAGCTGGCAGGGGGGAGCGATGCTCAAGCCAACCCCAGACTTCAAAGAACTTTCTGCTTTTATACTCACTCCCAGGCAGAACACAGGGTGCTTGTTCACCAGCTGCTTTGAGGATTTCAGGCTAGAACAAGGGTCTGCCTCAGCTCCAGGTCCACCCCACCACGTCAAACCCATCTAGCCCTAAGGGTGAGAGTTTCTTCCTGCAATGTACGTTTCTCTGGTCAGGGAACAGAAACCTATGTACAGACAAATGAAGTGGTTCAGTAAACGGGCTGTTTGTTTAAACAGGGCTTTATTGAAGACAATTCAGAAGTTTATGTACAAAACAGCATTGCCACCCCCATATCAGGATGTTAGTCACCCACTGGGAACAAAGCAAGTGCCTGGTGTGTGCTGTCAATCTGGGGACATGCAGAGGTTGCTGAGGAGTTTAGAGAAGTACCAAATCCATGTAGTTTAGAGCTGGGCAACTGCAGCCTTGGCTCCATTAGGACTGAAGGAAACCAAAGAACCTTTCCCAGGGCCATGTCTCCAGTAGACTGGAATCTGACAGCATACACTGGGCCTTACTCTGAGGTCAGGTCATTTACTTCTGCAAAGAGTTTGGTTTTGGAAGTGATGAGGAACCAGCCCCTGGATCTAACCTGCTTTATCTTCTATCTATTTTAGATGGTTCCATCACTAAGAGCACAGTAGTATTTGCAGGAGGCATTAGAACAGAGCAGTAGCAATACCAAGGAGAAGAGTCAGCCACCTCACTTCCCACATACACCTAGAAAGAGGCTGGTATCCAACTGGCTATTTCAACTAGTGTATAAGAAAACCCTAGGGACACAGACAATAGTGGCACAGTTAAACAGTGACTGATGTGCTGTTTCTGCAGTGTGCAGGGCACTTCTACCACGGTAGTGTTTCCCCTTGCCAGTCCAGGAAGGAACCGTTCTCCTTTTCGCCAAGACGGTCCAGAACAGAGAGGATACCAGGAATAGCCTCTTGCACCTGCATGGGAGCCTACAGCAAATCAAGTTAGATCATTACAGGGAATATCTTACAGAAGAGAATCAATGGCATTTAAGGAGTTACTAGAATCAAGGGGGATGTATTTTCATGCTTCTCAAGGGCCTCTGCAGCACACGGAAGTGCACACTGTGCAGAGGGCTCTTGCACAAGGGCTGGGACAACACAGGAGTCATGCTGTCACATTTCACATGTCACTTACCATGTTTCCACCCATGTCTGTCTGAAGCCAGCCTGGATGCAAAGAAATACAAAGAATTCCATCCGATTTCAAGTCTGCAGCGAGGCACCTGGTGATCATGTTCAGCGCAGTCTACGGGAGTGGAAACCATCGATCAGCGTGCTAGCTTTACAAAGCTTGAGCAAGACCTTAAGCCAAGCTAAGTGTCACCTCCCTTCCACCATGCTGCCAAAGGAAGGGGCAGTAACAGTATCACAGTAACTTATCCAGGCTTAGTGGGGCTTCATTCTCAGAGATGCCTTCTAAGAGAAGCACTGTGAAAGCTCTGTTGCCATTAGCTTACTGCCCAAAGATGAAACCAAATTATGATGGAAGTTAAAGAACCATGTGAAACTGCTAAGGAGCTGTGGAGAAAATAATATTGACATAAGGACTCTGTTTTTCTGCAGTAATCACTACACAAACATTCCGGGTTTGACTTCTGAACAGGGAAAACAAGCACACTAACAGCTTATGAGGAGGTGGTGTAGGAGAAACTGTAACGCCTGATCTTGACTGTACAAACTCTGGATGTGACAAACCTCAAAACTCCACCTTTCCTTAGCAAGCATTGCCAGGTACAGCTCAGCACACCTTTTGTGGAGTTCCATGCTTGCTGTCTTGCTTGGACTGGACAGGAACACAACTAATAGGTTACACACCTGATGGCATCAGTTCTTCCCTGAATGCCAAGTCCCTCTGCAATGGGTCTGTATCGGAGCCATGATGGAACCTGTTCTTAAGAAGCTGGCATGCTCGCTCCAGGTGTATGGTTTTCCCATTTCCAGCCACATGAGGAACAAGGACAGTTCCTGTGTCAGCCTGTCCAAGAGGTGCTGCACACCTCACCTCATCATCCTAAGCTCAGAGTGGTCTTTAACTCACCCATTGAGCACAGCCCACAAACCTTTGCTATCCTGTAGGGGTAGACCTTGAGGAACATCTCATTTGCCTGGACGAGTTGCATGGAGGCAGCAAGAGAGGACATATTGATAATAGCAGCTCTGTGGCAGCCCATTCCCGTGCTCAGCTGGGCTGCCTTCCTCAGAAGGGGGAGAAATGCCTGTGGAAACAAGAGTTTGTGTGAACTTGGTCAGCTTGCCCTTGGCCAAGGCAATCTATGGAGAAGGGTGATGGCTCCCCATACAAGCTGACTATAGGAAACCTGTCTACAACAGCCAGCTGTAGGTAGCAAGGACCTTCAGTCTCTTCTGGCCACCTCCTAACCCAGCCAGTCCACTGAAGTGACCTTATACCAGGTGCATTTAAATTAAAAGAGCCTTAATAAAATGATTTCTTGCTGCTCTCTAGGCACACAGTGTGATATGAGAACTGTGTCTGTGCAGTCCCAGGGTGACAAATGCTTTGGTTACAAGGGGAAAAGCCTCTTCTAGTACCATAGATTAAGCACGTGCCTCCCAATTCTTACCTTGGTGACCATCAGCTGGGCAACTGTGTTGGTTTCATAAATGGTGAGCATTGTCTCTGCTGTGACTTCTTCCAAGGAAGCAAGCACATTGATGCCAGCGTTGTTAATGAGGCAGTTCAGACCTTTGTCGCCCACAATCTCCTCCACTTCCTTGACTACTTTCTTGATGCTGTTTTCGCAGACCACATCTGCACAGAGGAGCCAACAACAGCCACAGTGTGTGGGTCAGATGCTGTTTGTCACTGTCCGACGCGTGCCAAACCAAAGCTAAGGCATTAGTCTGAACGGGGACAGCACACTGAGATGACAGCGTGAGGAGGACTTCACATAGATTATGTTATCTGAAGATGAGGGTGATGGTTTTTCAGCTACTGATCACCCAAGAGACCAGTTCCTTCAGATGCACTCACCTGACTTAGCTGAATATAATGATGTATAAGCCATTTACTCACCCAGCTGAAGGAGCTTGATGTTGCTGTATTGCTTGCTGAGCTGCTGGAGTTCCTAGAAAGAAGAAATCTTTTGGGTTATGTTTTACATAGCCATGACTATTACATAAACCAGCTTGAAATCTGCACCTCCAGCATTGAAACTGCCATTTCTTTTCGTAACTGGACTGCAGGCGCTGACACTGCTGTGGCTGCAACCTGCTGAGCAGCTTTCCTGAGAGCAAGATCAACTGCCTCAAGAAACAGGACTCTTCATACTCAAGACCACCAGCACACCGAGTTAAGAGTTCTCGGTGTGGGCAGCTCGAGGTGTGCTTGCAGGGTAACCAAAGGTCTTTGGTCAGGCAGCTCCCAGTGCCAGTTACAGCAGACCCAAAGCTCACAGTGCATTCCAGGACAGGAATTCCTCACTTCTTTAAGGAAAGCAGAATTCTCCTGAAGCTCAGCTCGTGCTTTACATCAGTTCAGGGCTACAGGAATGCTTAAGAAAAGCCATTTGGAATTAGTGTTACTAAATTAGTGGAATTTAGTACAGTTTCCTAGCAGTTTTCCCATGGAAATTCT